GCTCCGCCAATCACCGCGCTCCGCCCCTCAGCGCTCCGCCAATCACCGCGCTCCGCCCCTCCGCGCTCCGCCATCTCCGCCGCTCCGCCAATCACCGCGCTCCGCCCCCAGCGCTCCGCCAATCAGCGCCCCGCGAGTCATTCAAACGGGCCGAGCCCTTCACCTCCGACACTCACTAACCACAACGGGTTGGGCAAAGCACCACGCCCCAAAGCACGTTGGAAATCAACTCATAAATCAAGCAACAACAAAGATGCAGGGTGGTTTTTTGGTTTTTTTTTTTTTGAAATAAATTTAATTTACAAAACATTTTTAAAATCAAAAGCAGAACGAGATACGCGCAAACCTGATGAAAACATCTGCCTCATCTTGTTTCTCTCCCACCAGCTTCGAAAGTGAAAGACAGAATGCTGTTTTCATGCTGTTTGAAACAGAAAAAGGGGCAGAAAACAAAGCTGAGCGCGACTCCCCCCACGAGCAATCCTGTGAAGCGCGCAATGTTAAAACAAAAGAACTTTACTTTTCCATAGCAAACAAAATTACACATAGGACTGAGTACTTCTACATTTACAGTACACTTCCTAACTTCTCCTTACAGCAAAGTATTTCCCCTAAAAAGACAACTTGAAAGTCTTCCATCTAAAATACCAACCTGTACAAATCACATTCAAATCACCTTATCTCATAAACCAGTGACAAAATATTGAGTTCTTTTCACCTTATTCTTTCATATAAAAGGACCAAGATTTAAACATGATCAAAATGGTCATGGGGAATAATAATTTAAAAATTGTCATTTTTACCTTTAATCCATCACATCCTTTCAAACCAAAAATTTCCTATGAACCATGAAAACAACCCTTAGGGGCTTAAGCAAAGTGACTGCCCTGCATTACATTCTGCCAGTGGCATTCTTCAATGCACATGATGAACAACCAAATCCCTGTGGGACTGTCTTGGAGAGGAGGATCCCGTGTGACAGTAGTCACAAGGACCTACACATAACTGCACTGGATGACCTTCAGGGACCATGCAGTCGGGATCAGCTATGCATGTATGCTCTACATAGCAAAGTTTCACATCTTTTTTTTTTATAGTTGTCAAGGAAAACCATCTGTTCACCTGCAACAGCCTTCTCAGAATTCATTCATAATTCTACATTCATGAACTCCTATACAGAAATTATTTTAAATGTAAAAACTTGAGGGTTATTAATCCCTTAGCATGCCTTAACACATCATGTTCAGTCAAGCACATTTCAAGGTGATTCCTTTGAAGTGCTCTTCAGACTTCAGGATGCCCTTTCACATTCATTACTAGGGAAACTAGCTAGTTGATGATACCAAATAAATCTTTTTTCATTGTGGTCTGGCATTACACATCTTTTAAAACAACTACTAGAATTATGATCCAGACTAAAGTAGCACTATAATTTTAAGGAAACCACAGCCTTACAAAAGACACATCATCACCATTACACTGACTGATACTCAGCATGAAAAGAACCCGTGAGAGACACAACTCTGTAAGAAAAGTGTCAGTGCTCAAAGAGGAAATTCCAATATAAATAAACATAAAATCCAATAAAAGAATTAAAGGCATTAACTCACTCAACAACCAGAAATTTGTTTAGCAAATAATACAGAATTCAATGTTTAAACAGAACAAGTGCAATAAGTTCTCAGAACCACGTAGCAGTTTGGAGTACCAACACAGACTCCATGCTTCTTCCCAAAGGTCTGCATGTGGAAAAGACCAACTTTTTGCAATGTGCCACTAATCACTGTTCAAAGAAATTTTAAGAGAGACCTGCTGCTTCCTTCTTTGGCAATAAATGCTCAGCTGAGTCAGATAATGACTGTCAGATAAAACACAGCCTTTAGCCAGACCGACAGGACACACACTCTCAGGGGAGTACACATACAGATTAAAATGCAGGTGCCAGACACTAAGGAGTTCCGACCCGTGCAGCTGTGAGGTGCAGATCTCTGCCCTTCAACTCCAGCCCTCTTAAGAGGAACTATCCTCCATCAAGCAGAAACCAGCTTCTTCCTCCTGCCAAATGAAGTACCAGTCCATGAAAATTTGCTTTGCTCATATATGAATCTTAAACAGATGTAAAGCCGTATGAATTATAGCTCATGATATTAAATAAAAATAAAAACTATGTATTCTAGCACATAAGCTTTCCTATTTTCTTTCACTGTCAACTGGCAATGATCCAGCCTGACCAGCAGGTAAAAACACTAACTAGTAGGGTTATCTGCAAAGAAAAGAACACCAAAGAACTAGAGGTCATTTTTTTCCAGGAATGACTAGTAATTCTGGTCACCCAAACAGCAAAGAGTGCTCGTTTTTCTGAAAAACGAGTCCTTTTATAGTCCTTCTTGTTGGGCACCCAAAAACATGAAGCCCTTTGGAAGATATTGACCTTAATGTTTTCTGAATAAACAACTGAATTAGAGAAAAAGCCATTATTCAGAATCTATATAAAAGGCACAATTATGAGAGAATTTTAAAAAGGACATTATCAAGTAAATATGCTCCAAATTCCATTTTAGTATTTTCCTGGAGTGTCTTCCAAACAGGCTGGACTTTAAAAGAAACAAGAATTTACTGACTACTTTTAAGCCACTGTTTTGTCAAAATCCTACAATACTTTTTTCCTACTGTAGGACAGAAAAGACAAGGAATAACCAAGAGTTAGGCTCTTTAGCCTAAGCATTGCACTGACACCATTGATGTTGGGCATCTTTAACAAGTACAATGACAAATGCATTACAAATCATGTTTCGTGTGCACATGTGGTACTATGAATACAAGACACACATGTCGACTTGAGGACTACACACAAACCAGCCATTTTCAAGCCATGGAGTGTAAAGATCACAGAAACAGTTTTATTTTGAAGAAGATGAAGGTGGAGTTAGAAAGCAGGAAGGGCAGTACTTGATAGTGTCCTTTCAGAAGGTGGCATTCAATGGCCTTGTTATTGCTGTGTATTTGCTAGTCTTCAGCTTCTTCCCAGATATATTTACAGTCAGTCTGAACATTCCCAGAGCACAGCTCTAAATTTTACTTTAGAGATACAAACATAGAACAGTTAAACATATGTAGTCCTGTTTTAGAAACTGAACTTTTAAAGTTTAGGACTTCTATTGTGCTTCTTTGGCTAAGTCCTATTTAAATATTGGTAACACTTAAAATTCTATAACTCTGCCACTATTTAACAGCTAACAGAAATCTTTGGTGTGTTTAGGTTAAGAATCCATAAGGGTACAAACTTCAAAATATGAACATTCAGGCAGTTCTGGCCCCTCTCCTGCAAACTGCTCAACACTGAAGTAGATGAGGATTAACAGAATCTATCACCAAAGTATCTGAATATGATTTAAAATGATCTGTGCCACTTGAGAGTTTATGGAACTGTGATGGGAAGAGAGCTTTTCACCACAGCTCACTTGTGCTCAGGTCATTGAATAAATTTAACAGTTACAATAATACATCTAAGTCCAGTTTCCCATTTTAAAGATTCTTGAGATAATAATTTAAGAGTAGGGAAAACTGGGAGGAAATTTGCCCCATTATTCTTGTAAGGAATAATGAAGATTATAAAATTACTTCAGATACTTTCTTTGGCATAATATTCACCAAACACACACAGAATAATTAAAGTAGGCTTAAAACAGAAAGCTTGATGAGGTTAAACTATACTAGATCTTATGGTGAATTACACTAGACTTGTAGCTCAAAATGGTTCTTTTGGAAAAAACCTCTTATGTCTAGTAAAGAAAAAGCTAAAAATAATTAGACATAAAATGCTCTCAAGAGTTTGACTTTGGTTTATAAACACAGTACAAGAAAGTGAGAAACAAAACAATTTAATTAGTAACTCACAAGAGATTTATAATTACTGATTTTTTTTTAAATAGAAATTGAGTACTGTTCTGGAACAGTCTTTAATCTTCTCTATCACAGATAACCTGAAAATGGGCACATTAATGTGAGACCCTGGTATAACTTATGCTCTAGCAAGGATAAACTGTGCCACTGCTTTGTGACTGTTCATAGATTAAAATGACCTTGCAAGCACTCCCATTTCTCTCGAAGTTAGAGTGCGGAGTACACTTTAGAAGACAAACAAGATTGAAAAGCAAGAAAAAATGCTTTTTAAAATTACATAGAACTAAGTATAGAAAATCAGACAATACCATTGTCTAGATCTTCCCAAATTACTCAGTGCTAGAGATCAAGGGAAAATTAAAAGGCCAAATTTAGGCAGCCTAATTATACTCAGGGGGATCATCAAACACCCTGTTTAGTGTCTTCAGAAAATATCATAGAATCACTTTCTGGAAGAACCTAGTGCCTGTGTTCACTGGCTAGGCTCCTGAGTCCTGCTGACTTTAAAACCCTCCAAAAATGCCTGAGGGTTCAAGTAAAATTATATATTAATTTCTGTGTGAAACATCATTCAAAGTCTGTATCTTATAGCCCTGCCTGCCCTTACAACTTTGAATGAGTTTGATATAATCCTTATTCTTTCAGAATGGTTTCTATTAAAACATTAACTCAAAGTGAGCTGCAGAAAGGCAAACAATTTTTTTAAATTAATAGCCAGATATGTAATTACATTTTTCAGCCACTATCCTTAAAAGGTATTTCAGAGCATTATTTTTAAAAGACCA